AATGATTCTTTTTGATTGTCAAATGTCGATCTGCGTGTTCTTTCAATTTCAATCTAAATCGAATGAGCCAGGCGTTAAATTGAATGAAAACTTGGTGAAATTGGCCGGGAAAACCTTTAATATGATTGTGTATTTTGTTCATTGTTTATTTTGTTAAATATGATAATTTGGTAATGTGATTCCTGATGACGTCAAAATGACGTGCCCTCTGTATCAGGGTTGATTTTCGTTCCACGTCTCAAGTTCCTGCTGAAAACAGATTGAAGAAAAGTCGCTGAGAATGACGGTCCGGGAAAAAGAAAGAAAAGCTCGTACGATTCTAAATCGGTGGCATTTTTAATGATGATTGTGCACTTAAATGCAAGGCCAGTAGAATCAGAATTACAAGAGACTGACTGAGACCTCATAGTGTGTACATCCATGTACATCTTCCTGATCCGAAAGTAACAGGGAGCAATGATATTTGGAAGAAGTAAAAAATGTTCAAACGATATGAGACAGGGAGGCACTGATAGAGGGGGTAATTCAGTCGTTCGTTAATGAGTATGAAGACAATCATTGGATCAATGCCTTTTAAAGTATGAAGAAGTCAGCCAAGAATAGGCCCTCCTTTTCAATAAAGGTTTTCTCGGAGAAATTCCGATTTGTTCAAATCAGTTTCATAATCAGCCATTAAATATTGCGTGAATTTTGCACATGTGGTCAAATTGGCAGTAAGCCATCGACCACAAATGTTTTCAATTAGCAGATTTTGGATGAATAATTTGAAAGAAAAAACCCTAAACTAAGCAGTGTGTTAGGCTTCCTAACGGGCAAACATGTTTCACATTTTGTCAAACATCTTTTAAGACTTCATACGTGTCCGTATTCCTTAGCGCAAATCATATATTTGATGACTTCAAACCGTAGATTGACTTTCTTTCTTAAAGGGTATGTGCAATGAATTTTTTCTCAGGAATTCTTTTTGCGCAACTCTGTGAAATGTAAGAAAACTACACATTTGACAACACTTTTTTGGTTAATCTTATTGCAAAGGTGCACTTCTTTAAGCATTTAAAAGTTTCCATGTTTTTCCGGACTAACGCTGTTACTGTGATGTCATTTCAGGAAGACACTGTTCAGTTTAGGTTTTTTTCTTTCAAATTATTCATCCTAAATTTGCTAATTGAAAACATTTGTGGGAAAGGGTTGGTCATTGGCTTACTGCCATGTACTGACACAACATATAATCACCAAATAAAAGAAATTTATGACAGCAAAATATCCAAAATTCTAGCAATTTTTTTGCTGAAATAGCCGTGTAACATTAATCATGCTCGGAATACCATCACAGGTTTTCTAATGAATATGAAACTTTGCATTAGCATAAAAACGGAGAAGGCACCAAAAACGCCCCTCAAAATGGAAAATAAAACTTGCAAATAAGGTTAAATGTGACACAAAGATGTATTGCATTGAAAACTTTGCATGGGCCCTATGAATATGGTAAGTGTTCGGTCAGACATACGCAAGAAAACATTCAAGAAATAACGCAAGAGAAGATTTCCCGATGGTACAACCATTTCCAAACATATTACGTGTTCCGATGTCTTGCACGTCAAGAAATCATCAACGTAACAAAACCCCTTGATCAAACGTTTCAACAAGTAGAAAAGATCAACAAGGAAAAAGAAATTATCTTAGTCCCTTTCAATTAATTATTTCGTTGCATCTTGTTTCCCTCAAGTAACTTTGTAAAATTTACAGTCGTCAAGATTGGTTTTTTTTTTAGGAGGGGGGAATGAACCTCGGAGAAAAATAGGAAAAAATGTCGATTAAAAATTCTTTTAATTTAAATGACCAAACGATGAAAGCGATTGCCCATAAACGAATAAGAAACGAAAACTGGCATGGTTATACGTTATAAGCGCACAGATGTTCGCTAATTTGAATGCGTCAACCGTCAAAAGGTTGCAAAGACTTAATTTAAGACTGCTACAAGTTAAGTCTTGAATGCACCAAAGCGAAATAGGCTGCCCTAAAACGAAAACGAACATTCACAGCAAAATTTTGGCTGTCTAAAAATGAAATTGAATGAACCCCAAATAAAAAAGAAACCCCAATTGGACCAGGTGTGCAAAACTCGCGCGAAATTGAATGGCTGATAATGAAACTGATTAGAAAAATTCGGAAATTCGCTGGGAAAACCTATATTCAAACTCGTCCATCAACATCCATTTAGTGCACTTCCAATGTTTAATTTTGTCTTTTGTCAGACAATTTCTAATTCAGTTCATACAAGCAAATTAAAACAATGATTACACGTTTTCGTCCCGGAGTATTCGATCTCGTCTCGTCTACGCAAAACCTTAGCTTGTTATTCAGAATCAAATTCGTCTAATTGATTTATATAAGACGAATTCGATCTCTGAATGCTACCATTCGGAAACAGCTTAGATGAATTGACCTGTAATGTCGAATATTCTCGACCCAGTGACTAAAGAGGGTGACCAAACTTTGAAATTGAATGGTAAATGACTAATTTAAGTGGTTTTCTTTAAGCATGTGAAATTTTTCTCGGACGAAATTGAATGTTAGAGTTGATGAAATTGAATGAAAATGTTTTTAAATAGCCGGGAAAACCTATAGTTTCTTAGACCGTAACATTGCCAAGGCCTTTTTGTAATATTTTATCCTCTCATCAATTTGATCATAAAGTAAGACTCGTTCATTTATGATGCAGTTACTCCGGGAGAATACACAAAAGAGGCACAACCATTAATTGCTAGCCTTCTACCTCGTCTTCTTGCCCAAATGTCAATTAGGCATCGATAAAAATAAATAAATTTAGTCAAATTATCCATGACATTTCAATTGTGTAGTTCACTGAAAAGCAGAGCCAACATAAAAAAAAACCTGAAAGCGGATTACTCCATGAACTTTTTTTTTCATCACAGAGTTTTGGTAACCCTTGGGGTAACCCACCGGATACGCACCAATGGCGGCGATTTCTAGTCAGGATTTGGAGGGCACAGCTGCGTCGACAGACGAATCTCCGGGGGGGGGGGGGGGGAGGGAGGGGAGATTGCCAAGTAGGCATATTAATGGTTCGAGCTTAGTGGTAGCCCGCTAGCCAAATGCGAGTAAATACAGCGGCGGGCTAGTCAAAGCACTTGTTACATTACAGTGTAATAATTCGTTTGTCTTGTTAATGACCAATACTTTTATAGGGAGATATTTCAAGGGGGAATTAACTTAAATTATGTGGTATAGTTTAATGTTTGTAATGTAAAGTTGAATGTATTTTAATATTTTGAGCACAAAAACCACGACACCTTCTATTGTATGCCACTGTATATAAATGGCAATCAACCAAATCAATCAATCAATCAATCAATCAGAACTATTAAAGTCCCCCTGGCGAGTCATAATTATTGAAATAAGGCATGCAACTTTCTCGTGTATTCGTGGATTTTAGCGTTTTTAATGGAAATTGCGGCCTGAAATCCCCGAAAATGTCATGTTTTGGATTGATTAATACTTATCCTATTTCAAAGGTCTGGTTGAAAGGGAACTATAGGTTTTCCCGGCGAATTTCCGAATTTTTCTAATCAGTTTCAATATCAGCCATTCAATTTCGCGTGAGTTTTGCACATGTGGTCCAATTAGGGTTTCTTTTTCATTTGGGTTTCATTCAATTTCATTTTTAGGCAGCCAAGATTTTGCTGTGAATGTTCGTTTTCGTTTTCGGGCAGCCTATTTCGTTTTGGTGCATTCAAGACTTAACTCGTAGCAGTCTGAAATTAAGTCTTTGCAATATTTTGACGGTTGACGCATTCAAATTAGCGAACATCTGTGCGCTTATAACGTATAACCATGCTTTTCGTTTCCTATTCGCTTATGGGCAATCGCTTTCATCGTTTGGTCATTTAAATTAGTAAGATCTTTTAATCGATATTTTTTCCTATTTTTCTCCGAGGTTCATTCCCCCACTCAAAGAATCTCGTTTTATTATCTTAATCAACTGCTTATTTTTCTCGGTTAAACGACTTTTTTATCTGGTTTAAACGACTTATTTATCTTATAAATGAATAATTTGTCTCTCGTTCAAACGAGCCTAGGCGCACTATTAAAGTGAAATTCGCGCTACTAAGGTGTTCCCCATCTGCCCTCTCACATCTCGCATCTGGTGTGGATGACCTGACCTTTGTGTCGCAAGTTGTAATATGCAAATTTGGGACAATTATCATCTCGACTCATGCAAACGCAATTGGCATTTAGGAAGGAGACGAGGCAGGCATGAGGTTACAATCAAGTAAAAGCTTTATGTGGCCTCTCTGGGCTCCCTTACGTTTTGTACTAAATAAATGTAGTCGGGCACCATATGCAGACGTTGTTGTAATTTTGTAATTGTGCGTCTGGCAGCCAGACTGAGGGAGTGATGGTCATGTATCTGGAACATGTAAACGCTTTTTAATTAGCGCAATTAGCAGACTAATGACCAGCGTGGCAGCTCATGCACAATGTCGATATCGCTGTAGTGTGTGGTCCTACGTTACCGTTTTCTCTGACTTTTGTCTTGACTATCCAAATTTCGTGTATTTAGTATTTTTGACACGTCCGGGATGTTTTTCTTTATCTGTTGACATAGCTTCTTGAAGTAAAACAATCACACCACCAATATGATATGAGAGATCAAACTAAAGAAAATAGTATAGACAAAAATACATAATTTTGAAGTTAATCGTGTGCTACTTCATTCAACTTGTTTTGTGATCATGAATGCACCCGCCATCAGTAGTACCGATCGATAATAACGCGGCAGCGACATGCAAATGGGGGGACTCAAATGCGTCCCTGTAACGGCGGGCAAGATAGAGGGCTCCCTTTCATAATTTTAATTGACATTGGAAGCACTCTGGGTTGCGGAAAAAGACCCATTACTATTTTCTTTTTCTTTTTTATTAAAATGGGATTCGGTACAAAACCTGTTCTCGAAACAATCGCACATTTTTCCTCAGATGACGTTTCTTGCTCTGTGGAGGGACCTCTCGGGATGGAAGATGGTCGCATCCGGGATGAACGCATCACAGCTTCGTCTTTTTGGCGAAACCTCGCTAGCCACGCCCCATCCAGGGCCAGGCTTAATACTCAAGGTAAGCATTTGTATTTCAGACTAACCACGTTATACTTCGTACAGCCATTTCAAAGGAAAGACAGTTGTTTAACCCTAAAAGGGCCGGGCGGAATCCGCCCCCCCCCTCAACTTTTTCCGCGATAGCCTTGAAAAAAGAATGTCGCGACCCGAGCTGTTCGTCTGACTTTTTAGCTACGAGCCTTGCCCATCTTTTGATACCAAAAACATTTTAAAAAAATTCCGAAGCAAACTGAATTTCCCCATAAACGTAGTGTACACAGAGCATTCGTGCATATGAATAATTAATTAGCCATAATTCCAAAATCCTTTGACCTATAGTCATGAAATTTCTTGGGTATGTTCATGGTAAGTGCATGTACTGAGTTTCAAAAATTTTCGTCACTCGATGGCCGACATCTTAGGGGGCTGAGAGATGGTCCAAATAACCTGGCCCTTTTAGGGTTTAAGGGATATTATACGGCCTGAAATTCACGAAATTATTATGTTGTTAGGGATGTTTCTTTTTACTATTTCAAATGTATGGTTGAAAGGAAACTAACCTAATGTCTTACCGTTCTTGAGAAAAGACGGATGAACAGTTGTTTACATCGCACGCGGTGGACTGCTGTGGCATACATATACGCATTTCCCGCCGTTTCCATTCAATGTACAGTTCAAGTCGTGTGTGTCACAATACACAAAGTACCAACACAAATGTTGTTTCTCGCACGTCCGCATTATACAATACACTGTGTCATGCCAGATTCACAACTAGCACTCAACAGCTCTATTTTTGAGACTCACTATTTTGACACCCAAAATTAGTTGTCGCATGGTTCACGCAAGAATCACACAAAAATAACCAGTTTTAAATGATGGTTGTGTAGACGTTTATGTCTTACTATTAAATGCTCTTTCCATTTAATATAATTTCATTAAAATACGTTTTGTAGCCCAATTGAGCGCATTCGCAATGTCCCTTCAGTTGCACAATTCACTGCTCGATTTGTGGTTGATTCGTAGTAACCAAATCCATTACGACTGTGCACTAAAAAAACGTGCGGACGTCAATAGTCGAACGATATCGGCAAAATGTCATCAGGAAGTTATATGGGTCAAGGGTCCCTGCTGCGCATTGTGATGCGTGCAGCTATCGTACGCGTAACCAGCAATACGACCGACCACCAAAGCGGTCCTGAAGAGCCGACGATACCATGGGCGTCGCTGCAGGGGGGTGGAGGTGTCACAACCCCCATTAGACATTTTTGTCGGTGAAATCATGGTGCTGTCGGCCAAAAAAGTGAAGAATAGAGAAAGACGTAAAAGAAAGAGAGAAGAAGAAAATATTGAGAGTGTAAATAATAGACACCGTTGCTCAAAACCCTGCGAAGCTAACATCCGGTTCTGAATTCCTTGGCAAAAACAAATTGTACATTGTGTCAAGACTGTCATGTCGGCACGAGCTGCCGCGCGAGCTCGCTTCATATATACGGCGGTTGACAGCTACGGCTAAGTGACGACTCACAACCATGATGGATCAAGCTAAAGTTAAAGAAGGCAAAACTCGAAAGAGTGTAGAGCTTCAGTTTGATGTAATGTTTGTGATGCAATACATCAACTTTGATGACCCCCACCCCCATCTCCCTAAACACGAGCCAGTACATTAAAAAAAAGTCTGCGGAAAGTGGCCAGGAAATGCTTCAGATTGCACCACAAAGCATAAAATCCAGACCTTTTAGGCTGGCCCTGGACCCCCCGCACACATAAAAAAAGTCAGCAGAAAGTGGCTAGGAAATGTTTCAGATTGCACCACAGAGCACACAATCCAGAACTTTTAGGTGGGCCCCGGACCCCACGCCTTCAGGGCTTCGCGCTCTCCGCTCGCATATAACAGAAATTCACTTTAGGATTTAAGGTATATTCCATCATTTGTAATTTGTGCATTATGTTTGTTTGAAGCCACAAAAGTGCTCAAAATCTAAAGAAGGGTGATGAAGTTTCAGCTCAGCTGTATATTTCGAGAAAAACAGCATTTTAGGATCTCGATTTCAAATCAAAAGTTGCTGAATTCATGTTTTGAATGGGCCTGAATTCAGCATCCGGCGAGACATCGTGCCCGCGGCGTGCGCATCGTGTCAACGCTTGCGCGCGCTTCGCTGAATATAAAAACGAACTACTACGGAAATTTCTAACGGTGCTTCTTAAAACGCACCGTTGGAAGGGCATTCCTTCGTTGATTTTTTCAAAATGACAGCTTGCCAGAAAGAATAATTTCACAGGGAGTTTAGTCCCCTTGCTATCTTTCAACCAAGAATGTTTTTTCAACAATAATTAGGTCTGTCACTTTTTGGATAGCTGCAAATGATGGACTATAGCTTTAAAGACCCCCCCCCCCCCGACTGGGATCAGGGATCGGGCCTGCACAAGGTATGCTTACGTGGGCGTGTACACGCCAGCAGCGTATCCAGCTTTTGATTTGGGGGGGGGGGGGGGGCAACTGCACATCAGCGCCGAAATGTAGACATGTTTTTTTTCTTCGGACACTTGCCCTCCGTAAAATCAAAAAGCGGGGGGAGGGGGGGGGGGTCTGGTATCCATCTTCCAAATGGGGGCACTCTTCAAAACTGACCATTATTATGCATACTACATATCAAATGAAGATTTTCACGGCTCATTTTAATGGTTGTTGAATGGGCCAAGAAAAAGTCTCCGGTTTCTGGTATGGAGCTTGCCCAAAAAGTGGTGCGGCGATATTTATGGGAGACCAGAGAGGCCACATAAAGTTTATTCTCGATCATAACCCCATCTAAAAACACGTTAAAATTGTGCAGCAGCAGGATTCCTGTCAAACCAGTGAGTTTGGCGGTTTTGAGACATCATCTTTCATTGAAAAAAAAAACCTTTTTCATTTTGCCGACGCGCATGGCTACGGCGACGCGCGCGCATACCAGAAACCGGATACTTTTTTTTTGCCCTTAGTGGGATTGATGTCAGAGGAACTCTTTAAACATAACTGAAAATTTATTCCATTCAGAGCAATCAACATAATAAACCATTATAATACATGATGTGGGGAATTAGAAATGGATTTAATTAAGGGATCTTTTGGGGCGGAAATTATCAATTATTTTGTGTGACGGTCCGTCGGCAAATTTCATGATGACACCCCCCCCCCTTTCAAAATGGTCTAGCGACGCCCGTGGACGATACGCTAGTAAACTTAGTCTAGCGTTGGGTCAGACAAAGATTATTGGCAAAGATTATTCAACATACCTCGAAGTCCAAATTTGAGCCAGATTCCTGCAATATGGCTAAATCGTTGAATGCAGTAAGAAATGTTAGGTTTTTTTTGTTGTACAGGATACGCTGCAGCATGGTGTAATGATGAAACTACTGATGACATCAGTCCGTGGATACAGGTTCACTTCGATGGCACAGTCACCATCACTGGTCTGATCACCCAGGGGCGTGGAGACAGCCCATGCGACCAATGGGTGACGGAGTACCAAGTGACGTACAGCGAAGACGGTCAGTCCTGGAATAACGTGACTGATGCAGACGGCACACCAATAAAGGTATATAGTCAGGTTGCATACGGTTGGAATCGTGACCGACTGGTGCAAAGCACCAAACTTGGCAGATAGATTATTATAGCCCTAAAGAAGATATTTAGAAGGGGTGCCCACCTGAAATTCTTTTGGGAAGAGTGCCTAATTTGCATATTAAAGCGTTAATGAGTGCAACTTTAGAGTATAATATAGGTTTTCCCGGCCAATTTCACCAAGTTTTCATTCAATTTAACGCCTGGCTCATTCGATTTAGATTGAAATTGAAAGATCACGAAGATCGGCATTCGACAATCAAAAAGAATCATTCAATTTCACTATCCGAGCAATCTATCGCCTTTTAGCTTCACTCGTCCCTATCAAAGATGCATTCATATTAAAAGTATCGCGTTGTTCATTCAATTTCGTCTAAACCAGCAGTAAAGGGTTGATCGGGCATTCGTTTCATTAATGGGAAAACATATTTCACATTTTGTCAAACATCTTTTAAGACTTCATACTTGTCCGTATTCCTTAGGGTATCATGAATTTTTCTCAGGAATTCTTTTTTTGTGCAACTCTTTACTACTGTGAAATGTAAGAAAACTACACATTTGACAACATTTTTGAGTTAATCTTATTGCAAAAGTGCACCTCTTTAACCCTAAAGGGACCGGGGCGGAATGGTCAAAATAAACAGCCCTTTTAGGGTTAAACATTTAAAAGTGTCCATGCTTTTCCGGACTACGTATGAGCGCCCTGTTACTGTCATGGCATTTCAGGAAGACACTGTTCAGTTTTAGGGGTTTTCTTTCAAATTATTTATCCTAAATTTGCTAATTGAAAACATTTGTGGGAAAGGGTTGCTCACTGGCTTACTGCCATGAAGGCACCAAAAAACATCCTTCAAAAATAAAAAATGAAACTTGCAAATATGGTTAAATTTGACACAAAGATGTATTTTCAAGGTTTGCATAGCAAACTAACTTTGCATGGGCCCTGTGAATACAGTAAGTGTTCGATTAGACATGCGCAAGAAATCATTTAAGAAATAACTCAAGAGAAATGTTCCCGATGGTACATCCATTGCAAAAATAGGTGTTCCGATGTCTTGCACGTCAAGAAATTGTCAATGTTTAAACAAGTAGAAAAGATAAACAGTCAAAAACAAATTATCTTAGTCCCTTCAATTAATTAATTCGTAATAACATATTGTTTCCCTTATAGGGCCGTATTAGTTAATTTGTAACATTGTAAGTTTTACAGTTATCAAGTTTTGGAGGGAAATGAACCTCGGAGAAAAATAGAAAATGTTTCGATTAATTTTCTTTACTAACTTAAATGACCAAACGATGAAAAGGATTGCCCATAAACGAATAAGAAACGAAAAGCATGGTTATACTTTACAAGCGCACAGATGTTCGCTAATTTGAATGCGTCAACCGTCAAAAGGTTGCAAAGACTTAATTTGAGACTGCTACAAGTTAAGTCTTGAATGCACCAAAACGAAAAAGGATGCCCGAAAATGAAAACGAACATTCAAAGCAAAATCTTGGCTGCCTAAAAATGAAATTGAACGAACCCAAAACGAA